GGCAGAGGATCTCCCCCTGCGGGCCTTTCTTCCACATCGAGGACGATGTGGTCTTGCAGACGCTGCAGGTGGGCTTCAGGCCCAGCGGCATCGTTGCCGACTCGGGCGGCCCCCGCGGACGCAGCGACACGGGAATGGCGGCCGCTGGCTCTGGCCGCCCGCTGGTCGGCCCGCCGCTCCTAGCGACTCGACAGGGCTGGCACCGCGACCGCTGCCCCCTGGAGGCAGGAACCCTGCTCCAGGTCTCCGCGCTTCGCCGCAGCCCGGGGCGACTAGTGGACGCAGGAGGCGGGACCGGAAGCTGGGCCGGGGGGCCTGGCGTAAGAGGAAAGCCGGGCTTCCGGCAATGAGCGCGGCCGAATGCGACGGCTGCCCGACCCGCCTGACCGGAAGTACCGCCCCCTGAATTACTAGCGGCGCGCTGCGGTTCCGTTGGTTGGTGGGTGGGGTAGTGTTTCTCAAACTTTTTGGTCTCAGGCTTAGAATTGAGAAGTAAAATACAGGCCGCCCAGTTAAGTTTTAATTTCAGATAAACAACGAATAATTTTTTAGTGTAAGTGTACTCACGGGCTTACTTGTGCTTACTTACTAAACTAGTACACAATTTCACCTGTTTTTCACCACAGCAAAGATGTGGTGAAACCCATGTGAAATTGTGCACTACAGATTAGTAAGTAAACACAAACCCGTGTATACCTTGTTTACTGGTTAATCCGCCCCATGCAATAGTCGTTTGTCTGAAATTCAAATTTAACTGAGCATTCTGTATTCTTATTTGCTAACTCTGGCAATCTTACTCAGGACCCCTTTATGCTCTCAAAAATCATTGGAAACCCCAAATACTTTTGTTTGTGTGGGTTATATCCATGGACACATATGTATTAGAAGTGAAAACACATTTTAAAGTCTAAGGATGTCAAGCACACATTCATTAGTCTTTGGATGATGATGTCACTGTAGATCACGTAGCCTCCGGAAAACCGAACTGTACAGTAGTGAGAAGATGAGAGTGGAAAAGGCAAATAACTGGCTCAGCATGGTTGGGGAACAGTTTTGATTACGAGGAATCAAAAAAAAAAAGTTCTCAGTTCCAGGCAGCCCCTGGACCACACGTAAGAACAGCTGGCGTAGAACCTGCGCACTGAGAATCCAACTGGCTGCTATTAATGTGGCCATTCAACACAGCCCTGGCCAACGAATTGAGTCCCTTCTTCTCACCTCACTTGTTAGAGCGGTGGTTGCATACCCCTCTTCAAGCTCCTGGGTTTCCTAGATTTGTTATGCTAGGAGAGATCTTGATGGCGTGTGGGGGGAGAGGAAGAAGAAAAATGTATGGAACGCCTATGACGTCACAAAATCTCATTTATTGCTTACAACATCCCTGGGAACGAGATATTATTATCCCTATTTTACCATTGAGTTAACTGATGATCAACTGAGGTCGGCGATTTGAGAGCTGCCATCACAGCCGCTGCTCTCAACACCACATCCGGACAGAGGTTCCAAGCAGCCCTGAAGCCTGGGCTGTGGCTCAAACTTGCTGTGAGCCTAGATTTCCCCAGCAGTAAAACGAAATAATATTAACTACTTTTCAGAATTGTTGTGGGGATTAAGACCAAATGCAAAATGGTTTAGAAGAATAGCTAAAGAGTGCTGTCTCTTTTTAGAACAAGACACTGTGTGTGAGGGAATCTAGGCACTAAATTCCATGCTAGCTAATGTATCTATCCCTCTGGTACTGACTCCTGTGTCCCTCATCTCCAAGATACTTCCCCCTCAGACACTAAAAACTTTGGCCATCCGCTCACCAGCTTCCTCTCCAACACACAACACTGCCCTGGGTCACATCAACCTTTCTCGATTTCTCCTGTCTCCCGCTGATCTCCATGTGGTCTCATCTCGTCCTTGCAGCTCCCACAGCCCCTGGCCATACCCTCAACCTTCCTGAGATCATCAGGAAGAACTACTCTATGTTTTTTTCCCTTGTAAATTTATTTTACAACCTTTAAAAATGGAGTATAGTAAAGATACGGTACTGTAAAGTATTCAGCTCTTAAGTGTACAGCTTAATTATATCATGAAGTACAGTCAGGTAACCAACCACCAACGAAACCAAGAAATAAAACATTACCCCCAATACCCGCCTCTTGCCCCTTACCCAGAGGTAACCACCACACTGATGCAGATTTTCTTTATCAGGTTAAGAAGCGCCCTTCTATTCCTGTTTTTATCAGGAATGTGTAGAATTTTACCAAAAGCTTCTTATCTGTTGGGATGATCATGATTTTTTTTCTTTATTAATGTGTGAGTTACACTGATTTCTGAATGATAAATTGACATTGCCATTTCTGGAATAAATCCAACTTGGATATGATGTATTATCCTTTTTACACATTGCTAGATTTGATTTACTAATATTTTGTTTTAAGATTTTTACATCTGTGTTTCACGAGTGAGGTGGGATTATAATTTGCCTTTCTTGTAATATCTTTGTCAGGTTTCAGCATCAGGGTTGGTCCCATAAAGTGAGTTAGGAAGTGTTTCCTCTTTTTCTTCTCTTTGGAAGAGTTTGTATAAGATTGATGTTATTTCTTCCTTAAGTGTTTAGAAGAATTCATTAGTAAAGATCTCTGTGCTTGGGGTTTTCCTTGTAGTAAAGTTTTAAATTACAGATTTAATTTTTTTATATTGGGCTATTGAGGTTTTCTATATTTTTACTGTGTCAGATTTGGTAAATTGTGCTTTTTAGGGACTTTGTCCATTTCATCTATATTGGCATAAAATTATTATAATATCATCTTAGGATTTCTTAATGTTCATAGGATCTGTTAAAAAAAAAAAAAGAACATTTTCATTCTTGATATTATTTGGACCTTCTCCCTTTTTTTCTTGATCATTTTCACCAAGCATTTATCAATGCTATCAGTCTTTCCAAAGAACTGCCTTTTTTACTAAACTTAACCTTTTTTTTTTTTTTACTAAGTTATTGAGATGGATGTTTAGATGACTTATTTCAGCCTTTCTTCTTTTCCAGTGGATGTATTTAATTAAGACTATTAATTTTCCTTTAATTATTGCTTTAGCTGCATATCATAAGTTTTGATTGGTAATATTTTTATTGTTATTCACCTAAAAATATTTTTTCATTTCATTGTCATTTCTCCTTGACACGTTAAAAGTATATTTCTAAATTCTAAGTATATGGGTTACTTACTGCCACTATAGTCACATAACATGTTCAATCCTCTGAAATTTATTAAGACTTGCTTTAAGGTCCAGCATATGGTCAATTTTTTGTAAAAGTTCATGTGAAACTGGGTGGTTAGGAAAACAAAAACAAAAAACACAGGACCATACCATCAGTGAAGGGTCTGACCCTAAGTCACAGGTGGCCAGACCAGGGTTCCCAGAGGTTCCAGGGGAGAGTTCTCAGACTGATACAATGTGAGATGGGCACCCAGACTGCACTCAGGGCAAGAGTTCAACTGGAACACATAGAGACAATTTGGGGATGTTCCAGTGTTTTGTGTGTGTGTGTGTAAGCTGTGAATACAGATATAGATACTTCCCAAGGTCTTTAAAATTAACACTAAGGGAAAGGAATAAAGCTGAATTCCCCAGGGGTTATGAGTGTTTGCATATAGTCTAATTGGCATAATGTAGGTATTGTGTGGTTCGTTAATTAAAACTTTTAAGATTAAAAAAAAATAAAAAGCAGATATATAAACTATACTAAGGGGCTAGCTTCAAAGAGAGAGTATACCTCTTCTCAGCAACAATTTCCATTCAGAACAAGTTTTTGCTCCCATTCCGCTCCCTGACTAGAAATCCAGGGAAGAGGGGCTCATCCTGGCTGCTTTCTTTCTACCTAGTCATCTGACTTCTCTCACCAAGCAGCCTGAAATGGGACTGTAAGCCTCCTCATGGGCCTGCAGCCCACAAGTCTGCATTTCCCTGTACCATGGGAGGCACCAACATCATCATCTATCACAAAAACCAATACCTATTTTATTATAAACAAGTCTTACTTATTTGAAATAACTGTGTGGGGATTCCTGGTGGTCTCCCTAGTTTCATAAGCATCCTTCTCCTGCTTAAAAGAAAGCGATGTCATGGTGGGGAGGACATCGCGTTCTCTGGCAGCCTCTTGCTAAGGCTTCAGGACAGCTTCCACACTCCTTGACCTGGAATTGATCTTGGAGATTCAGGGGTAGGCTCCAGAGTGAGCTCAGGCTCAGCACAGAGTGCATTAGCTGAGGCCGTTTGACCATTATGAGGCTCAGCAGGTTGGATTTGACTCCAAGCCTCTCTTAGGCACAGGAGTCCCTGGCCCACCCCACTCTCCAACTGTCGTTCCTCTAACTGTCGCTCAGAACTTTGCTTCTCTTACCTGGTGCCTGCTAGTCTTTTGGATGACCGCTGGCCTACGAGTGAGGGAAGCTTTTTTTGGACCAGGTGAAAACCTCATTTTGTGATTCAGACACCAGCCAAATGTAGTTTCATGAAGAAAACTCAGTTGCGTTTGTTTTGAATACTTTGAAAATCTTGCTGCCGTACCCTTTCTGATTTGCAGGGCAGGAGGGAACCAACCTGAGCTTCGTTATTTGAGCATCTTTTCATGCTTCTCAGCTTGATGTGAAGCTTGCTTTCCTCAGAGGAGCTCCAGACTTTATCAAAAGAGAAATATTTCTTTTACTCTTCGAAATGTAAATATCTTTTTTTGTTATATAAACAATAAATGTTCATTGTAAAAATTCACACATTTCAGAGTATAAATTATAGGGTTACTCAACTCTGCTGTGCTAAATATATCCGTATTAACAGTTTGTAGTGTATCTTTCCAGTCTCTGGAAATGTGTGTTTGTAAATTATTAGTGGAATTTTACTGAATGTTATTCTCTAATCTGGCTTTTTCATTCAAAAGTGTGTTATGGAGAATTTTCACATTAATTCATGTAGATTTGCTTTTTCCTGTGCCAAAATTAATGAAAACCATTCTCCTGCTGGTGGATATTTAGAATGTTTTAAATTTTTTGCAACTACAAACAATGATGCAATGAATTTCCGTATACATATATCTTTGCCTACTTGTGTGAGTATTTTAATGAGATAAATTCCTAAAAATATAACCGTTGGGTCTAAAGGAATGCACATTTTGAATTTTGTTAGATGCTGACAAATAGCCCACCAAAAAAAGTTTATATTCCTACCAACTCCTATGAGGTTTTCCCAGGGCCTACTTCTCCCCTAGGCACAGTAGGCATAGTGCCAAGGGTCCATGATACTTTCGGGGCCATGAAAATTTTTTAATTTTAATTTCTTTTAAAATCAGAATAATAATGAATATATAATAGTCAATTCAGCTCAGATTATATTAGTCTTTATCCCAAAACCAAAACCAAACCCATTGCCATTGAGTCAATTCTCACTCATGGTGACCCCATGAGTCACAGAGTGGAACTGCTGCACAGGATTTTTATGGCTATAGTCTTTATGGGAACAGATTGCCAGGCCTTTCTTCCATGGCACTGCTGGGTGGGTTTGAACCCAGTAGTCAAGCATAAAATACATTTTTAATATTGTTTTATGGAGGATTGAACCCATGGAGGCAAATGTGCCTAGGGCCCATACAATCCATTTCTTCCCACCCTCGCAATTCTAAGAATTATCTTTTTAATTTTTGCCAGTCTTTTATGCAAAAAATGATATTTCACTGTAGTTTTTATTTGCAGTTCTCTTTTTTTTTTTTTCGTGAGGTATCTTCTCCTAAGTTTATTGACCATTTAATTTCCCTATAAATTGCCTATTTATGGTCTTTTCTCATCTTCTATTTGGTTGCCCATCTTTTCCTTATTAATTTGTCAAAGTTCTTCTTACAGTATAGTAAATATTGCACATATTTTTTTCAATTTTGCATTTCAAATTTATTGGTGTTTCAAATTTAAGGTATTCTTTTTATAATGGCATTTAAAATGTTTCTGTACCTCAAATCTGTCAAGTATTTCTTTTGTGGTATTGTTACAAAGGGTTGCACAAATATTCTTTTATATTTTCTTGTAGAATATCTATGGGTATTCTTATTTATGATAATGTCTTTAATTCATCTGGAATCTATTTTTGTATAGGATGTGAATTAGCTATTAAACTTTATTTGGTTTAATAGCTAGTTGTTCTAACACCATAGAACAATAATTTCAAATACCACCTTTATCAGATATTCAATTCCCATATATACAGTGAATCTGTTTCTTGAGTCCCTTCAATTCCATTGATCTATTTATCAATTTCCATGCTAGTCCCATATCTTTAATTACATAGCTTTATGATATTTTGATTTCTAATAAGGTAAATTACTACTAGCCTCCTCCCATAATCCTTCTCTTTCCCTTTTTTCTTGATTATTCTCACACATTTACACCTTCTGATGAATTTAGAGTTACATTTTCAAGTACTGAAAAAAAAAACTCAATGTATTTTGTAAAATTTAGAGATTAACTTGAGGAGAAGGGTCACCTTTACAAAACTGAGTCAGCTTCCCCAAGAGCACTGTATGCTGTTCAGACCTTCCTTTCATACCATGTTCCAGTCGGCCTTCAGTTTGTCCAAGCCTTTGTCATCTCAGCAATCTCCTTCTCAAACTCCTCCATGGCTCTCTTTGTGGGACAGAAGGCCAGTAACAGGGGGCTTGCCTGAGTCTCTGTGTTCTCCATGAGGTTAATGGGGGCCTATTCCTTTGTAATTTTGGGTCATTTTAGTACTGGTTTTCCAACAGCTGTGTTCTGGCTACAAACCATTGTGGCCATGTGCACCATCATCCCTTCTCTGAATTTCTGGTCACCTTGCTTCCACTTTTGCTTACTCTGACCCATTCTGTACACTATACCCAGGATAACCTTTCTAGTCAGATCCTCACAGTCCCCCGCTGGAAAATTTTGAGTTCCTCAGAGTATTAGCTTTTTATTGCTGCTGTCACAAACTACCACAAACTTAGTGCCTTAAAACCACACAAACATATTATCTTACTGTAGTCCAGAAATCCAAAATCAGTCTCACTGTGCTAAAATCAAGGTGTCAGCAGGACTGTATTCCTTTCTGGAGGCTCTACGGGAGAATTGTTCCATTACCTTTTCCTGCTTTTAGAGCCTGCCTGTATTCCTTGGCTCACGGCCTCTTCCTCCCTCTTCAAAGCCAGCAATTGCATCCCTCCAACCTCTGCTTCTGTCATCACATCTGCTTTTCTGACTCTGACCCTCCTGCTTTCCTCTTCTAAGCATGATCATAAGGATCCTTGTGATTACCTTGGGCCCATGTGGGTAATCCAGGATAATCTCACCAACTCCAGATCCGTAACTTAATCACATTTGCAAGCCCCTTTTGCCATCCATGCAAGGTAACATATTCACAGGTTCCAGGGATTAGTATGTGGACATCTTTAGGAGGCCATTGTTCTGCCTACCACACCCATGGCCTTCAGGATGGAGTCCAGATTCCTTAATTTCTCTTGCTAGCCCCTCAGTGACCTGCCCCCACTACCCCTCTGGCTAAACTCTTTCCATTTTCCCCCTCATACTTTCTGCTCTGCCCACATGAATTTCCATCCATTTCTGGAACCTGCCCTCTCTACTTTCTCCAGTCTTGGTCTAGGCTGGTTCTTCTGCCTGGGATGATCTTCCTCCACCTCTTCACTTGGCTAATCCCTATTCATCTTCCAGCCTTAGTTTTAAACCTCACTCTCTCTGGAAGCTTTCAACAACCTCGTCCACTCCCAGCATCTTCCCTCAGACTTTGTTAGGGGCTGTGATAGCACCTTCCATTGTCTCTGGCCTTGCTCATGCCAATTTTTATACTATTGCTTATTTAATTATCTTCTCTTCCAAACTGTAAGCTATTTGAGGGTGGAGATGATAAGGGAAGCGCCATGCTTTCCGCATAAGGGGGGACTTATTAACTACTTGTTAAAATGAATTTGTAAAAATACTAATTCCAAATAGACGACAGATTATTTTACTCCACAGGCCTCATTTTACAAATATTTATTTGTTATTCACTCAGTAAATACCTATTAGGCACTGACTCAATAAATACTGAGCAAAGGCAGTTAAAATTAAGAAGAAAAAATCATCTAATTGTTATGAGGATGCTAACATGGTAGCAGTATGATCATAAAGACATGAATAACAATTCTCCCCCTGCCCCAGGAAGATGAACTTGGAGGTCAGTGAACCAATAGACTTTAGTTCTGGAGATCATTTACATCTGGTTCGGAAAGCAGCAGATAAAGAAAATGTCCAGCCCAAATCTGATCAGCACTACACATCCTCAGGTTCAGAAGGGCCAGCACAAACTCCTAGGAATCCTCAGCCAAAGACTGGTGAACCAGCAAGTGTTTATGTGATACAAATTTCAGATGAGAGCACCCCAGAGGACAGCAGTACAAACGTACGTGGCCCATTCTCAGATGCATCTGTCCGCAGAGGTGAGAGTAAAGAAATTACCTTTTTGGAAGAGTGGATTGTCAGAAAGATTTAGTTTTGCTTTTGTTTTTCCTAGTCATGCTTTACCAAGAAGCATGTAGGACTTCTATAGTAGACTGCCCCAAATTGTCCAGGGCCTTCAGAAACTCATAATGTGTGTTATGGTGGATGATTTTTAGTTTTCTTAGGAAATAGGAATTGGTTGTTGGTTGTAGAATGTCTTGCCTACATACAAGGTGATACCATAATGTTGGCTTTGGTTTCAAAAAATATTAATTAAATGTCCTAAATATTAATTTTGTATAAGTTAGGAAACACATTCAGCTGTGAGTATCAGAAACCTAAAAAACTGTGGCTTAAACAAATGAGAAGTTTTGTTTTTCTCCCATGAAATATGAAGTTTGGAGGTAGGCAATTCAAGATTAATGCTTCAGGCCCCTGGTGTTCACTGGGACCTAGGCTGTTTTGAGCTGCCACTCTGCCCCCTTAGGCCCTCTTAGGGTCTGGACAACTTGGAGGAGGACTGTGAAATTTGCATCCCCATTGCTATCTCCTTATGACCCCCACCCTCCATCCCATGGCTGGAAAGATGCCTCAGGAGCTCCAGTTTTCCAGGTAGGAAGAAGGGAAAGGCCAACAGCCAAGGCAATCAAGGGCCAAGGCAGGACTACTGCACTGACAACTCCAGGGGGCGCCATTCGTGAACAGGTGCCTTGAGAATTGGCCAAATCTGATGCCTTTTAGGAGGCTTTCCCAGAAACCACATGAAAGAGTTTCCAATTACATGTCATTGGCCCTACTTGTGTCACATGGCCACCTCTATGTGCAGTGTTTTAGTTGGCCCATTCCCATCCTTAATAAGATCTGGGTGTGAAAGTGAGGAAGCTGGGGAGAATGGATGTCAGTAAGCAACTAGCAACCGCTGCCACAGGTGGTAACCCTTTCTGGGGTATTGTGCAAGGGAAACATTATTGCATTTAGTTCTTACAGCAACCCTATGAATTAAGTAGTATTATTGCCATTTTACAGATGAGGAAAAGAGGCTTAAGGTGGTATCACAGCTACATAAAAAATATGTAAAGCCTCCTCACCAATATTAGAATTAGTTATTTGTATCTACTACCTCTTCTATAGGGCAGAGGCTGTCCCCTCTCCCCAGCACCCTCTTAAATTGTACCGTACAGGAGAAGATGAAAGTGCTACGAGAAAAAGGAAAAGTAGAACAGGATAATGGGTTAATAAGAGTTATGGAGGTAGGGGCTACAATTTTTTAAAGCAGATTTTTTGAGATATAATTTTTTTTTTTTTTTTGCCATCGAGTTGATTCTGACTCACGGCAACGCCATGATATAATTTACATGCCATAAAATTCACCCTTTTATGTGTATAATTCAATGGTTTTTAGTATATTTCCAGAGTTGTGCAGCTATCACCACAATCTACTTTTAGAACATTTTCATCACTCTCAAAAGAAGCCCAATCACTTCCCCATTGCCCCCTCCCTCCATTAATTGCCCCTGGAAACCATTAATCTACTTTCTGTCTCTATGAATTTGCCTATTATGGACATTTCATATAAATGGAATCGTACAATATGTGATCTTTTGTGATGGGCTTCTTTTACTTAGTGTAATGTTTTCAAGGTGCATGCATGCATTATTGCTGAATAACATTCCATTGCCTGAATATACCACCTTTTGTTTTTCCATTTGTCAGTTGGTGAACATTTGTGTTGTTTCCACTTTTTGGTTAGTATGAATAATGCTGATATAAAATTTATGTACACATTTTTTGGTAAATATATGTTTTCCTTTCTCTTGGGTAGATACCTAGAAGTGGAGTCGCTGAGCTATATGGTAACTCTATGTTTAACATTTAGAGTAACTGCCAAACTTTCCTAGAGTGGCTGCGCCTTTTTACATTCCCACCAAAAATAAATGAGTGTTCCTGTTTTTTCATATCCTCAGCAACACTTGTTATTGTCCAACATTTTTTTTTTTTTGTTTCTTATTGTGCTTTAGGTGAAAGTTTACAGCTCAAGCTAATATCTCATTCAAAAATTTATACACATACTGTTTTGTGGCATTAGTTGCAATCCTCACAATGTGATAGCACACTTCCCGTTTCTACTCTGGGTTCCCTGTGTCCATTTGTCCAGTTCCTGTCCCTGCCTTCTTGTCCTGCTTTCGGACAGGAGCTGCCCATTTGGTCTCGCATATTTGGTTAAACTAAGAAGCCCATTCCTCACGTGTGTTATTTTTCTTTCATAGGCCTGTCTAATCTTTGTCTGAAAAGTAGGCTTTGGGAATGGTTTCTGTTCTGGGTTAGCAGAGCATCTGAGGGCTATAGTTTTGGGGGTTTTCTAACTTTTTGATTACAGTCATTCTCGTGTTTGAAGGGTATATAATTGTAGCTTTGATCTGCATTTCTCTAATGATTAATGCTGTGGGAGAAAAAGGTGGCAATCTGCTTCCGTAAAGATTTACTGCACTGGAAACCCTATAGAGCAATTCTACTCTATCCTGTAGGGTCACTATGAGTCAGAGTCCATTTGACGGCAACAGGTTTGTTTGTTTTGGTTTTTAATGACTAATGATGGGAGTGTCTTATTAGCCATTCACCTATCTTCTTTGGAGAAATGTCTAAATCCTTTTGCCCATTTTTTAGAAAAAACAATGATCATTTTATTATCTCTCATTATTCTGTGGATTTCCAGGGTTTAGGTGGGCAGCCTTATTGCTAGTTTTGATTGGGTTCTCTCATACAGTCACAATTGGATGTTAGCTGGGGCTGCAGTGGCCATTATGGCTCCGTCACATGGCTGGCAGTTGGTGTTGGTTGTTAGCTCTCTTCTTGTGGCTTGAGCATTTCACCACATGGCAGCTGCGTCCCGAAAAGGAGTGTACCAGGTGGACAAGCCCCAATGCGCAAGCGGCTTAGCAAGCCTTTGCTTGGATCACACATGCTAATGTCCCATTAGCCAAAGCAAATCATGTGGCCAAGTCCAGCATCAATGTGAGAGGGGACTACACAAGCTCTCCCCATTTTTAATTATGTTATTGTCTTCTTGTTATTGAGTTGTAAGTTTTCTTTATGTATCCTGGATACAAGTCCCTTATCAGATATAATTTGTAAATACTATATTTTCTTCCATCTGTGGGTTGTCTTCTCACTTTTAAAAAAGTGTCATTTGGTGCACAAATATTTTTATTTTTGATGAAGTCCGATTTATCTGTTTTTTTTTTTTGTTTTTTTTTTGCTGCTTATATTTAGGTGCATATCTAAGAAATCATTGTCTAATACATGAGCACTAAGATTTACACTTTCCTCTAAGAGTTTTAAAGTTTTAGCTCTCACATTTATGTCTATGATTCATTTTGAATTAATTTTTTTGTATGGGATGAAGAAGATGTCCAAATTCATCATTTTGTGTGTGGATAGCCAGTTGTCTCGGTACCGTTTGTTGAAAAGACTATTCTTTCCTTGCTGAATTGTCTTGGTACCTTTGTAAAAATTAATTAATCATAAATGGAGGGGTTTCTTTTGGACTCTCAGTTCTAGTCTACTGAGCTGTGTATCTATCCTTAAGAGTTGGGACATTTAATTTTTATTCCTTCACAGTCCCTGGCATTTTAGGTGCCCAATTCACATTGGCTAAATGAATATTTTAATGCAGCAGCACACATTTGGGTATATATGTTCTGGTGTTTTGATTAAGATAGCTCAGACTCGTATTTTTGTTGTCACACTTCCTATACAGAGAAATAGTCCAGCAAAACGCCGGAGCTGGCTATCCTATACCTGTTGTCGTGGAGTCGATTCTGACTTGTAGTGACCTTATAGGACAGAGTAGAACTGCCCCCCTGGGATTTCCAAGGAGCAGCTGGTGGATTTGAAAGGCCAACCTTTTGGTTAGCAGCCAAGCTTCTAACCACTGCTCCACCAGGGCTCCTGGCTATCCTACAAAGCAACTTTAAGCCATGTTTTTTCTTTTTTGAATTGGGATAAAGCCACAAAAATGTAAATTGTCATTACAGCCCCATATTTGTAGGGCCCCAGGAAAACCTGTGCAGTAGCAAGTAAGAAAAAAAGCCTCTTAGCAGCCCGAAGTGGTGCCAACTTGCCGTGCATTGTGCTTTGGCATGCCATTCACTTGCAACTCTTTGGTCTTACCTAACTAGTTTTTGCATCAGTTAGTAGGAGGGAAGGGAGTTGCTAAAGGTAGGAAGGCCCCAGAGAAAAGTGTCAGAAATGCTCTGCAAACTCCCAGCAGCCCATATCCAATTCTGTGGGGGTGGGGGTTGGGGGATAAATGCCCTCTTTGCCAGGAGATCCTGAGATATCTCTGTTCTCCATTCTGTGCCAGGGTGCAGCTGGGTTCCCAGCGATGGGGCTGTGTCATCTTCATATGTTCAGACCACTTTTGGTCCAAAGGAGTATGGGGAGTGCATACTAAGGAATTTAATTCCTAAGTTGTTTTTAAAATTTTGAGGCTTCAGTGGGTAAACCTTCAGATCTTTAATAAAATACTTCTGGCAATTCAGATTGAGTATTTTCCAAAAGTTCTGCAGAGCTGTATTTTTGTTATTATTCTAGTTGCTGACTCTAAACTAGCATTCACTTTACTATCCTCAAAAAAAAAAAAAAAAACCCAACCAGAAGATTCAACAACAAAAAGACAAATGACCCAATTAAAAAAAAAGAAAAATGGGCGAAGGACTTGAATAGGCATTCTTCCACAGAAGAGCTACAAACGGTCAATATGCACATGAAAAGATGCTCAACATCATTAGTTATTAGGGAAATGCAAATCAAAACCACAAAATGAGATACCACCTCACCTCCATTAGGATGCCTATTTTCAGAAAAACAGGAAATAACAAGCGTTGGTGACTATGTGGAGAAATTCAAAGCCTCATCCATTGCTGATGGGAACATAAAATGCTATAGCCATTGTGGAATACAGTTTGGCAGTTCCTCAAAAAGTTAAACAGAATTACCATATGAACCAACAATTCCACTTCTAGGTATATACCCAAAAGGCTTGGAAGCAAGAACTCAAAAAGATACTTCTACACCAATGTTCACAGAATCATTATTCACAATAGCCAAAAGGTGGAAACAACCTAAGTGTTCATCAACATATAAATGGTTAACAAAGTGTAGTATAGCCATACAATAGAATATTATTCATCCATAAAGACAAATGAAGTTCTGATACAAGCTATGACGTGGATAAATCTTGAAAACATTATATTGAGTGAAATAAGTCAGAGAAAAGAACAAATTGTCTTGTTGCCTGAATAAGTCAGACTAAAGGGCAAATATTATATATTTTTATGTAATATAAAAATACGAAACATCTAGAATGGGCAAATGCATAGAAACAAAAATTAATTAGTGGTTACCAGGGACTGGGAGGAAGGGGAATGGGAAGTTATTAGCTAATGGACATTGAGTTTCTGTTTAGGGTAATGAAAAACATTTGGAAATGGATAATGGTGATGGTTGCACAACGTGGAGAATGTAATTAATGTCACTGAATTGTACACTTTAAAATGGTTAAAATGACAAATGTTTTGTTCTATACATTTTACCTTAATAAAATAAAAGAAATATGAGAAAAGTTTTCTATCATGATCATCAAAAATACTTTATTACTAAAGGTTTCTTGGACTCAAAAAAATAGTTGACTACATTTATAGTTTTACTCTTGAGTATTTGTTTCTGTCATAAGAAATAATGTTTCTGTCTCCTCAGGTTTCATTAGAAAAGTATTCCTCCTCCTGACAGTGCAGTTGCTTGTCACTGGGGCAATTATTAGTGTGTTTCTTTTCTGGTAAGTCTTTATTAAACCAAACCCATTGCCATCGAGTTGATTCTTACTCATAGCGAGTAAAACTGCCCCATAGGGTTTCCAAGGCTGCAAATCTTTGGAGAAGCAGACTGCCACATCTTTCACCCATGGAGACGCTGGTGGATTCAAACTGCTGACCTTTTGGTCGGCAGTCAAGCATTTTAACCACTGTGCCACCAGGGCTCCTGGAAGTCTTTATTACTGATGTAGAATTAAATGTTAGATTATTCAAATTAATTATTATTTAATGAGCTTGATTTAATTTTGATCATTAAAAAAATCTCGTCACTTTTTTCTCAGTCATTCACAGGATAGTATTTCTATGGGAGTTCCTGGGTAGCACAAATGACTTCTAGCCCACCCAGAGGCACCTGGGATGACAGGCCTAGCAATCTGCTTCTGAAAGGTCACAGCCTTGAAAACCCTATGGAGCAGTTCTACTCTGCACACATAGGGTTGCCATGAGTCACAATCTACGGGACCCCAGCTAACAACAACAACAATAGTATTTCTATGGCTTTATTTTTCTGAGACAACTCCTAGACCAAAGTGTTGGTAGATTTCTAGAATGTTACTTCAATTTCCTAAGCCAAGAACTTCTTGTCTTACTCTTATTTGGGGTACTGTTTTCTTTTTTTAAATAATCCTGACCTATTACACAGTTCAAATTGGATAAAGAAAAAAGGTGAGATTATGGAGGCCAGAACACTGTTCGGCTCAGAAATTACTGAGGGACTGTGAACCATCACAGCTAAAACCCATTCTATGAAAATCTGTATTTACAAAACAAATATATTAGAAGTTGATTTTTTTTCTGCTTTGCACACATGTCAATCTCAGTGTTTTTTTTTTAAATAAAAACTTCACTAGGACATTTGCATTTATCTACATTTGACTTACAACTTATGAATATATCCTTTTGTGAATATATCTATTTATAGAAGAAAGACAGTTATGTTTCACTACTCATCTGTCACTGGTAATCAAGCTTTTAGGGTTTCCCTCTTTCTTCTTATGATATTTTTTTAATGCTACTTAAGTATTACATTAGTTAGCAAAAAATACTATTTATTGTGTAAATGTGTGTGTGTGTGTATATATATATATATA